TTTAAAAAAAAACAAGGGGAGCGGGGGGAGGGCCCAGGCTAAGCGTGCAGGTGCCAATTTAGTTACTGACTCCCTGAACAGATCAAAAAGTACCAACAGCCCCACTCTTCTAATTCTACACCAAGTGCCAAGAAGTGTGACTAAATGAAGCCCATCCAAAGTAGGACTGGCCTTGAAAGGTGTGGGACTGAAAAGTCTACTTTTCACTACTGACGATATTCTAAGAAAGCTGAGATTTGGATAGAGGGTGATTCACACTGTAACCCCAAGGAGTATATCAGGGATGGGTCTGAAGAAGGTATTCAGGATGGAAAAAGAAAACCCATATTTGAGTTTAGTAGAGGTCCAGAAAAAAAAAGGCATCCCACACACCAGAAAGGTTGTGGGTTCAATTCCCAGTCAGGATATATACCTAGTAGCAGGTTTGATCCCCGGTTGAAGTGAATATGGGAGGCAGCTGATCGATGTTTCTTTCTCACATAAATGTTTTTCTCTCTCTCTCTAAAAATCAGTGAATATATCCCAGGGTGAGGATTTAAAAAAAAAACTTTCCAGATACAGGGAACGTACCCTCACACTTTACAACCTTGTACCACAAAATACTATCTTCATAAGGCAGAAAAGATAGAATAGTGAACAAAGGCCCTCCTTCTCCATCTTGGCTGGAATATCACAGACAAAACCATCACTGACCATCTGTTCCCCTGCTCACTCCTCCCCAATTTCCTGTAATTGAGAGGACCAAAAAGAAATCAATTATCTGAAGAGGAAAGACAAGGACGAGCTGTATTGGCAGTCACCTCACCAACATCAGAAGCTGAAGACCACACTATCTCCACCCTTGCCCATGTTTAATAAAAACCTTCCACCCAGACCCCATTGGGGCATCTCATTCTCTAGGTCACCTGCTCTCACTTCTCGAGTGTGGACTATTGCTTTAATAAATGTACTGTGCTTTGCTAAATCCTTCTGTCACACTCTTGAATCCTTTCTTGTTCCCTGACAAAAACATGCATAGGGTTCAGGTCTCCCTTGGCCTCTGTGGCTGCTGCCTGGTATCACTCACACTGTCTGAAACTCCATCTAGAAGTACAGAGAATTCCATCTAGAAGTACAGAGGACTAACAACATAATAGCTCTCAATACACACACAAAAATAAAGGTACCCTTAGAGAATGTGCACCAAAATCCAATGAAGGTAATCCAATTGTAACATTATAGAGACATGATTACATTACAATAAACTGCCTGATAAAAGTATATGTTAATAATAATAATAACAGCATTTCTAAGGTAGTTTTAAAGAAAGGTCAGTTCACAATTTTGACTCTAGTATATGTGAAGAAAATATCCCAGCCCATAAACATGAATATCAGATCCATGAAGCCAAAAAATTTCAAAATGGAGACAGATGCATCAATGTGTCAATCTAATGACATCAGTCATCAAGATAATATGACTAATTCCCTGGGCTCCCATTCTAAACTTAACAGACAACCTTCTTATTATAAACTATCTTCCCATGTATATTAATGCAATGTTTTCAACCTCTCTTCTTCAATATCAACTAAAGGATTCAATATACTCCCAATACCGCCCTGGCCAGTTTGGCTCAGCGGTTGAGCGTCGACCTGCAGACCAGAGAGTCCTGGGTTAGGTTCCTGCTAGGGGCACGTACCACAAAAAACAAACAAACAAAAAAAAACCCAATATACTCTCAATACTAACAGTGATTCACTAGGGCAATTATTTTTCATTGATTTTAGAGAGGGAGAGATGAAAGGGGGTGGGACAGAAACACTGACATGAGAGAAACATTAATCAGTTGCTTCCCGCACACGCCCTGATTGGGGATCAACCCACAACCTATGTATGTGCCCTCACCAGGAATTGAACCTGCAACCAATAGGATGAGACTCCAACCAACTGAGCCACCCAGCCAGGGCAGGGCAGGGCAGTATTTTTAACGAGGAGGCATCCACATATTTAAATTACCAAAGAAATGTTTATTTTTAAAAACACCCCAAGTACTTAAGATTCTTAAGGGTTCCTTATACTAGTTGGGAATTATGGGCCTACACAAGAATGGACTGACCTAATTCAGGAAATCTGATAATTACAGTTCTCTCTGCAAATTAAAATGTTGACATTTTGGTTTTATAAATCAGTTTGTTATATAGAAACTGATTAATGTGAGGTTAATGTGAGGTGTACTGAGAGTCAGGGGCATTTACTGTGTCAACAAATCAGTCATATATATTTACTACAAGTTAGAAGCTTATGATACTAAAACTAGAATGGACCTTAAATGGAGGCCACCTAACCCAATCTAGTCTAACACTGTCCCAATGAAAGAATCCCTCCTCTATTGCTGACATTGGTTTAATTTGGCTTTCTACCTAACACCTGAGAATAACTGCACTGACAGCTGATCCCAGAAATGAGAAGGAAAGAGATATTTTTAGAATACAGTCTCTCATTTCTAAAGGTAAGCAAACTTGAGTAGGGCACTTCAGTAAAAGATGCCATGAGACATACTTTGAGAGGTTAAAAAATGAAGGGTGGAGGAAGACCGAAGATAAAAAAAAAAAAATTGGCAAAAGGACCTGAACAGGGTCTTCACAAAAGAAATCTGAACCAAAAAAAAAAGAAAGAAATGAAAAATAAATTAATTAAATAAAGGAGCACAATCTCATTAGCAATCAGGGAAATACAAATTAAAAATATAAAAAAGCCCGGCTGGTTTGGCTCAGCAGTTAGAGTGTCGACCCACAGATCAAGGAGTCACGAGTTTGATTCTGATCAAGGGTGTTTACCTCAGTTGTGGTTCAGTCCCAGGCCCCTGGTCAGGGCCATGCGGGAGGCAACTGATCAATGTATCTCTCTCACAGCAATTTTTCTCCCCACTCCCCCCCGTCTCTTGCTCTCACTCTCACTCTATCTGAAGATAAATGGAAAAATATCAAGTGAGGATTAAAGAAAAGACATAAAAGATGTCTTTAATTACTCATTCAGCCCTGGCTGGTTTGGCTCAGCAGTTAAAGTGTTGGCCCGCGGACCACAGAGAGACCCGTGTTCAGTTCCCGCTAAGGGCATGTACCTTGGCTGCAGTCTGTCCCAGGCCCCAGATGGGGTCATATGGGTGGGTGCCTCTCTCACATCGATGTCTCTCTCTCTCTCTCCCACTTTCTCTGAAGATAAATGCAAAAATGTCCTTGGGTAGGATTAAAAAAAAAAAAAAAAGATATTACCCATTCAGCAGAATGACAAAAATTAGGAAGCTGAACAATACTAAATATTGGCAAAGATATGGAGCAATAACAGCTTGAGTACACTATGGGAAATGTAAACTGGTAAACACATTTTGGAAAGTTTTTATATGTATACCCCACCACCCAATAATTTTAATTTATTCCTAGAGAAAATCTTGCATGTGTGCACCAGGATACATGTTGACAGGAGAGCTGTTTTTACAGCAACTAAACTAGAAACCACTCAAAATTTAATCACAGGTAGAATGAACAAGCAGTGATACATGAATACAACTGAATACTATATGGCAATGAAAACAAGCTGCAGCTGCACACAACAATATGGACAATTTTCATAAACTTATCAAGCAAAAGATCCAAGAGGAAAAAGGACGCAAACAATTGATTTTGTTTATGTAACATTCAAAAACAGACAAAATTATGTCATATTTCTTAAAGACATATTCATGTATGGTCAAATTATTTTTAGAAAGCAGGAAAATCATTACCACAATAGTTATTTTATGAGTTATTACCCCAGTGGAGTTGTTACTCTAGAGAATGAAATACTGTAACCTGAGAAGAACTTTTAGGATGATAGTAATGTTCTCTTTCTTGACCTGGATGATGGTTACAAAGATGTCAGTCTTAAAACTGTTCTTCAAACTGTACATAGGTTTCATATACTTTTCTATACTTACATCATGTCAATAAAAACTGTTGAAAGAAAGAAGCATATAAACAAACTTACCCATTTAAAAATTCTACTTAAGCCCTGGCCGGTTTGGCTCAGCGGTTGGAGCGTTGGTCTGCGGTACAGAGAGACCCGGGTTTGGATCCCGCTAAGGCCATGTACCTAGGTTGCAGTTTGTCCCCGGCCCTGGTTGGTTGTGCGGGAGGCAGCCACTCGATGTGTCCCTTCACATCAATGTTTCTCTCTCTCTCTCTCCCACTCTATCTGAACAAAAAAGGGGAAAATGTCCTCGGGTGAGTATAAAAAAAAAAAAAAAATTCTACTTAAGGCTAAATGTGCCTTTCCCCAGCAAAAATATAAATTTAAGAAAATGGAGTCCGTATAGAAAAGAAATCCCTTCAAGCTTTAGTCTGATTATTCTAAGGATTGAGGTGTACTGAGATAGACCCCAAATGTAAAGTTAACTACCCTTGGCAAATAGATTTGTGAGAAAAGACTTTTGGTTATTCAAAATCATATATCCTCAAACTTTACAGATTTTCTTGCTAATGATTTCTCGTTGTATATATAATTTACATTTTAAATACTCAGTTATGCCTGGCCGGTGTGGCTCAGTGGTTGAGCATCGACCCACGCACCAAGAGGTCGCCAGTTCAATTTCTGGTCAGGGCACATGTCCAGGTTGTGGGCCTGACCCCCAGTGGCGGGCATGCAGGAGGCGGCCAGTTGATGTTCTCTCTCATTGATGTTTCTATCTCTCTCTCCCTCTCCCTTCCTCTCTCTCTAAAATCAATAAAGAAAAAATAGTTTTAAAAATTTTTACTTTGATATAATAAAGTGTATCAATCTTAGGTGTTCCCTAAATCTTATAGTTCCGTGTTTACACAGATAAAAACATCCCTGTATCAACCACCCAGATGAACATAAAGACTTAAAGCTAGATTTGAAAGTTTTATTGAAAAAAAGAAAAACAAGAGAACACCCAAGAGATTAAATACTATTGCTTCTCTAAACCAAAAGGTTTTGATTTATTTAGTTAAATTTTATTTTCATACCTGAAATTCATCTTGAGTACTGTGAACATTGCACCATCTGGCAACAGGTTCAGGAACCACTTCCCAATCCTCGCAGACTTGTTTAAGGATATTCACAAATGTTGACTTCCCTGCAGCTATTGTGAGAGGAAAAGTAAAACTGAGAAAGAAAACTTACCAGAAAAATAAAAACCAAAATAGTCTTTAGCTTTTCAAAATTTATAGTCATGCGGAGCAAAAATGACATTTCAGTCAGTGAACCACATGTACTATAATGGTTCCATAAAAACTACAATGAAGCTGAAAAATTCCTATCACCTAGACACATACAGTTGTCCTAATGTCTTAGCACAATGCATTACTCACGTGTTTGTGGTGATGCTGGTGTAAACAACAAACATACTGCACTGCCAGTTGTATAAAAGTATAGTACATACAATTATGTACACTACATAATATTTGATAATGAAAATAAACAACTATGTTACTGGTTTATATATTTATTATATATAATTTTTATTGTTACTTTAGAGTTTACTCTATTTATTAAAATAAAAGAAAAAAGCCCTGGCCAGTTTGGCTTAGTGACTGGAGTATCGGCCCGTGGACCAAAGAGTCCCGGGTTCGATTCTGGCCAAGAGCATGCACCTCGGTTGCAGTTTGTTCCTGGCCCAGGTTGGGGTTGTGCAGATGGCTACCAATAGATGTGTCTCTCACATGGATGTTTCTCTCTCTCTCTCTCTCTCTCTCTCTCTTCCTTTCTCCCTCCCTCCCTCCAGCTCTATCTGAAGATAAATGGAAAAGTATCCTCAGGTGAGGATTTAAAAAAACAAAAACAAAACAAACAAACAAAAGATAACAAACAAACAAAAAAAAATAGCCTGGCTGAGTGGTTCAACTGGTTGAATATCATCCTGTGCACCAAAGGGTTGCCAGTTCAATTCACAGTCAGAGCACGTGCCTGGGTTGTAGGTTCCATCCCAGCTCAGGCACATAGGGCAGCCGATAGATGTTTGTCTCTCTCTTCCTCCTCTCTAAGTAGGTCAAGTGAGGATTAAATAAATAAATTCATTTAGCCCTGGCTGGTTTGGCTCAGCGGTTAGAGCGTTGGCCTGCGGTCCGGAGAGACCCGGGTTTGGTTTCCGCTAAGGGCACATACTTCGGTTGCAGTTTGTCCCCGGCCCTGGTTGGTCGTGCGGGTGGCAGCCACTCGATGTGTCCCTTTCACGTCGATGTTTCTCTCTCTCTCTCTCTCTCTTTCCCTCTCTCTCCCTCCCACTCTATCTGTACAAAAGTTGGAAAAATGTCCTCGGGTGAGGATAAAAATAAATAAATAAATTCATTTAAAAAAATAAAAAACATGCCCAGCCTGAGTAGCTCACTGGTTGAGCGTTGACCCATGCACCAAGAGGTCACCAGTTCGATTCCTAGTCAGGGCACATGCCCAGGTTGTGGGCCCAATCCCCAGTGGGGGACATGCAGGAGGCAGCCAGTTGATGTTCTTTCTCATCAATGTTTCTCTCTCTCTCCCTTTCCCTTCCTCTCTCTCTGAAGTCAATAAAGAAAAAAAAACAAAGTTCACTGAAAAACAGTATGCTGTGTTACACCTTCAGCAGCCTCACACATCTCATGGTTACGTCTTTTGATTACATCATTTTCTCTTGTGCTTGATTTAATCTCGTGTCATTTTGTGCAGTAACACACTGAAAAGGACTGTAGCCTAGGAGCACTAAGCTATCCCATCTAGGTTAGTATAAGTGCACTCTATGATATTCTCACCAAGACAAACTCACCTAATGATTTACTTCTAAGAATGTATCCCCATTGTTAAGCAGCGCATGACTATAATAGCAAACTATACATAAAACAAAAACATCTAATTTCCTAAACTTTCTCTTTAGATCTTTTAAAAGTGTTACTGAATTTATTGGGATGACATTGGTTAATAAAATTATATAGCTTTCAGTTGTACAATTCTATAATACATAATATGTATATTGTATCGTGTGTTCACCACACCAAATCAAGTCTCCTTCCATCACCATTTATCTCCCCTTTACACTCCTTCTACCTCTCTGTACCTCAGTTTTGTTTTTTTAATGTTTTTTTTTATCCTCACCTGAGGACATTTTTCCATTTTTTGTTCAGACAGAGTAGAAGGGAGAGAGAGGAAGAGAGGGAGAGAGAGAGAGAAAAACCTTGATGTTAAAGGGACACATCAAGTGGTTGCCACCCACACGACCCAAGCAGGGCTGGGGACAAACTGCAACCGAGGTACGTGACCTTAGTGAGAACCAAACCCAGGTCTCTCTGGACCGTGGGCCCAGGCTCTAACTGCTGTGCCAAACTGGCCAGGGCTACCCTAGTTTTTTGTTTTGTTTTTCTATCCTCACTCGAGGACATTTTTCCATTTTTTGTTCAGATAGAGTGGGAGGGAGGGAGAGGAAGAGAGAGAGAGAGAGAGAGAGGGAGAGAGAGAGAGAGAGAGAGAAACATCGACGTGAAAGGGACATATCAAGTGGCTGCCTCCCGCACGACCAACCAGGGCCGGGGACAAACTACAACCGAGATACGTGCCCTTAGCGGAAACCGAACCCAGGTCTCTCTGGACCGCAGGCTGACACTCTAACCGCTGAGCCAAACTGGCCAGGGCTACCCTAGTTTTTTTTAAATGAAAACTAAAAGGGTCCTTGCACACTAGTATTAAACATATTAGTTATTGGTTTTAGTTTACCAAAACAATGGAAGAGAAGAATCAAAAAGTTGGTGAGATTTTAAGCAAGATGTTATGGTAGAAAAGAAACTAGTTCTAGCCCTGGCCAGTCTGGCTCAGCAGTTAGAGCATCAGCCCACAGACCAAAAAGTCCCATTCTGGCCAAGGGTACGTACCTCAGTTGCAGTTTGTCTTCGGCCCTAGTTGGGGTCACGCGAATGGCAACCAATCCCAATCGAAGTGTCTCTCTCACATTGATGTTTCTCTATCTCTCTCTTCCTCCCTCTCTCCCTCCCACTCTATCTGGAGATAAATGTAAAAATATCCTCAGGCTCGGGTGAGGATATATATATATACATATATATACACATACATATATGTGTGTGTGTGTGTGTGTGTGTATATATATATATAAATAAATAGAATACTAGTCCTAGACTCACTTTCCTTAACCAAGCAATGAGTAATAACTTTGTGGGAAGTGGTTAAGGTTATTCTCCCACTTAATGAGGTATGTGATTTTGGGTAAGTAACTAAACCTCTGAGCCTGTTTCCCAATAATACAATGGATATAATAATAATACCCTCCTCATGGAATCTGCTGGGATAAGCAAGTAACATAGTAGACAGTCATTCTAGGCTCTCACATTTTCAAAATTTTCCTTTCTATTGCCTCCATTCTGTTTACAAACAAAATAGGTCTTTCGTTTCTAAAATGAATTTAGAAACAATCCAATAAACTATAAAATCAACATAAAGATGCATCCAATGCCTATAGTTTTATAATGAAAAGTAGTGTATTATATTACAGTAATTATCATATGACACTATGGTTATCATAAATTATAAAAACATTTTTGCAAAGTACTTCCTACAAGCAATAGCCATGTTTTCTCTGCTTCACCTTCATGGTTCTGTGCATTGTATACTTTATCTAATCCTTAAAAAAAAAAGTCGTCACCTGATCATTCACTAGTTTCTGAGATATTGGAGGTGGGAGGGTATTCAGTTGTAATGAAAACACATTGTATTCATTATTTACAAATTACCCAGGAATATATTCCACTTAATAGTAGGAAAAGTCTTGATCTAGAATTTAACAGGGTATAGCAGTACTACTAGTGACCACACCTTTCCTATCTGCAGTCACCAAATGTGGTTATATTAGACATCTCTAGTCAGCAAATGTGTTTCTGTGTGTGTGTGTATGCAGGGTATCTGTAGATTCTAATACATTTTGTTTTGTTTTTTAAAATCCTCATCTGAGTATATTTTTTTCCATTTATCTTCAGATAGAATGGGAGGGAAAAAGGGGAGAGGGAGACATGGACTGGTTGCGTCCTGCACGACCAGCGGACCAAACAGCAACTGAGGTACATGCCCTTGACTGGAATCAAAGCTGAGACTCTTTGGTCCGTGGGCCAATGTTCTAACTGTTGAGCCAAACCAGCCAGGGTGATTCTACTACATTTTGAAAATAAAATATATTTTAATAAACACTGGCTTTATAATTATACTTTTTTAGTGTGTATACATTTTTTAGGACACCCTATATATGTATACACACACACATAGATAAACATAAAAAGCAACTGCAGTATGCTTATAAGAAAAGTCTCCTCCACCTTACAAACTGGTACCAAGGAGGGCAAAAAGAACTTACCTTTGACTTATACAGAACTATATTCAAACCTAGAACATTAAATAGGGCAATAGAAAGAAAGAACAAACTGGAAGAACTTTAAAAGATCACACACAGAGAACGAAAAAAGAGGAGGGTCAATAAGAATGTAATACACAAAGGACAGCTCAGTAGAAAAACTTTTAAGGATAAATTAGATGACTATTGGATCTAATTATGGGAAAAATACTGGTGTTCAAAGATTTTGTGTTAAGAGGGTAAGCATATGGACTATAAGACATTTAGAAGAATAGTTAAGTGGAAACATAAAAAATGATCACCAGTCATTCACTGAGCTAGATGAAGATAAGGAAAATGTGATGTTCAGAAAAAACACCCAAGGAACACATTTAAGAATTCAGGCATTGCCCTGGCCGGTTTGGCTCAGCAGTTAGAGCATCGGCCTGCAGTCCAGAGAGACCCAGGTTTGGTTCCCGCTAAGGGCATGTTCCTCGGTTGCAGTTTGTCTTCAGCCCTGGTTGGTCGTGCAGGTGGCAGCCACTCGATATGTCCCTTTTGCGTCAATGTTTCTCTCTCTCTCTCTCCCCCCTCTCCCTCCCACTCTATCTGAACAAAAAATGGAGAAATGTCTTCAGGTGAGGATTAAAAAAAAAAAAAAAAAACAGGCATCGCCCAGCCGGTGTGGCTCAGTGGTTGAGCGTCAACCCATGCACCAAGAGGTCACCGGTTCAATTCCCAGTCAGGGCACTGCCCAGGATATAGGCCCACTCCCTGGTGGAGGCCATACAGGAAGCGGCCAATCGATGTTCTCTCTCATCAGTGTTTCTATCTCTCTCCCTCTCCTTTCCTCTCTCTCTGTAATCAATAAAGAGAAGAAGAAAAAAAAAAAAGAAATCAAGCATCAATCAGCTAGAGTCTGAAAGCACTTAGCCTAGAATTCAGCTTATTTCCGATCCTACCTACAAACTGAAAAAGTTTATGTGGTCATACTTTGGAATTTTAAGAATAACAAAAGTTACATTTATTTTTATTTTTATTTTTTTTATCCTCACCCGAGGACATTTTTCCATTTTTTGTTCAGGTAGAGTGGGGGGGAGAGAGAGAGGAACAGAGAGAGAGAGAGAAACATCGATGTGAAAGGGACACATCGAGTGGCTGCCACCCGCACAACCGACCAGGGCCGGCGACAAACTGCAACCGAGGTACGTGCCCTTAGCGGGAACCGAATCCGGGTCTCTCAGGACCGCAGGCCGACGCTCTAACCGCTGAGCCAAACCGGCCAGGGCCAAAAGTTACATTTAATTCAAACAATAATTACCTGTAATTCCCGATTGGACTAATATCCAGTTTGTTAACTTTGGTGGGGGGGTAGCTAGAACATAAGCTAAGTAATAAATCAATAGTCTATGAAGGCAAAGAAGAACAAGAACCAAGAACACTGATGTTAATACTTTAAAAACTCATGGGACCTGCCCTGGCCAGTGTGGCTCAGTTGGTTAAGCATCATCCCGTCAGGGAACATGCTTAGGTTTCGGGTTCAGTCCCTGGTAGGAGTGTGGACCAAAGGCAACCCATCGATGTTTCTCTCTGTCTCTCTCTTCCTCCCTCTCTCTAAAAATCAATAAAAAAAAATATTAAAAAAAGAAAGTCATGCCCTGGCAGGTTTGGCTCAGCAGTTAGTGCCTCGGCCCGCGGTCCAGAGAGACCTGGGTTAGGTTCCCACTAAGGGCACGTACCTTGGTTGCAGTTTGTTCCCGGCCCCGGATGGGGTCATGTGGGTGGCAGCCAGTTGATGTGTCTCTCTCACATTGATGTTTCTCTCTCTCTCTTCCTCCCTCTCGCTCTATCTGAAGATGAATGCAAAAATGTCCTTGGGTGAGGATTAAAAAAGAGTCATGGGACCTAACAATTACAAATGCCAAGTAGGCATTATAATGCCAAAAGTTATTCTGTACAGACTAGTAAGATGAGAAGAAACAGGTAAAGCCTCCATAAGAGAGTATTTTAGTAACACAGAACATAAGACTGGTATATGAGTATAAAACTAAAATGACCAGTTAAGTTTCAAATTCTAGAAAGGGAAGAATCACAAAATTGTTTTCTACACACAGATTACACAATTTGTACATTTATAGCTTATTTGGGTCTAACAAATTAGAGGGGAACAACAATGCAACAAGTGGCAAAGCTTCAGTGTCAGGAAAGACAGTAAGTGGTAAGGAATATAGCCCATCCATACAGCAAATTGTTGTCTGACAGAAATGCAGGCTCAGTGTTAGCAGATATTCAGATTTTTCAGAAGTCAAGAATCTAGAATTTACGGGAAATCATAAAATTTAATGCTAGCAAATTTAATGCTAATATTTTAATGAAATTTTTTTTTTCAAATCTGTGCTGGCCAACAGTGTACAAACGCAGGCCATCAGTTTGCAACTCGTTCCATTGTAGATAAAGAGGAAGTCAGAAGAATTTCAAGCAGGGGCAACACAATTACAGTAGTTCTCACTCATCCATGAGGGATACTTTCAAAACCCACAGTGGATACCTGAAACTGTAGCATCCAAATCCTACATATACATGTTACCCTTGAACAACATGGGGGTTAAAGGTGATCACTCCCTTCTCAGCCAAAAATCTGCACATAACTTTTGATTGCCCCCAAACTTAAGTTGTCCCTTGGTATCCAAGAGATGATTAGTTTTGGGACCCCATGGATACCATAATCTGCGGATGCTCGAGTCCTCTCTATAAAATGGCATAGATCAAAGCATAGAATCAGCCCTCAGCATCCACAGACTCCCAACCACAGAAACAGTACCTGTATTGGGGGGGGGATTCATATATAAATGGACCTTCACAGTTCAAATGCGTGTTGTTCAAGGGTCCAACTGTATACGGACCTTTTCCACTAGTGCCTTAATGAAGCAATGAAATAAGATGTCCTCTTTGAGGGTATATTCAGCTTTTATCTATCCCTTGGAGAGATGCTAAGACATCTGCTTGCCTTGCCTCTTTTTTTTTTTTTTTTTCTTTAATATGTTTTTACTGGTTTTTAGAGAGGAAGGGGGAGAGAAACCTCCAGAAGAGATGTCGACAGGCTGGCTCCTGCACGCCCCCTATTGGGGGTCGAGCGGGCAACCCAGGCATAGGCCCTGCCGGGAAACCACCCGCGGCCTCGGTGCACGGACCGTCAATCCACTGGGCCTTGCTGGGCTTGCCTTGCTTTTTAAAAGTCCAAGTACTTTATTTTTTTTAAAACAGAAAGAAACAGAGGAAGTCCAAGTGCTTTGCATGTGGTGAGAATTAAACATTTGTCGTACGCATGAGTGGCGAGTGCCCAACTAGGAGATAAACTGGTTCTTTCAAAACAGGAAATAGCAGGCATAGGTCCTGTGGTAGGAAAGAGAGAAAAACCTCCTTCCTTGTACTCCACTGTGCAGAGCAGTTTTACTCACAGTCGCTGAACACTGGAAGCAAGTGCCCACCAGTCGGGAAGAGAGAAGCTGTGGTACGACCACGCAGTGGAATACTACCCGGCAATAAAAAAGAACTACCCAGACCCGCGAACCGGAAGCATGTGAAAGCCTTGTGCTCGATGAAAGGAGGACACTGGGCTGCACGCACGACAGCCCCTCCTCTGACTCGGGGAAAGGCAGACCCCGGGGCAGGACTCAGGTCCGCCAGGGGCCGAGCGCAGGGACTCGCCCAGGCGCTGGCAGCGTCCTCAGCCTTGGCGGTGGAGGAAGTAAAGCGACAAGTTTGCCAAGCCCCGCGGAAGAGTCCACCTAGCAGGGGTCATTTAAAGCATGTAAATTACAGGCCAGGAACGGCCCCCCCCCCCCAAAAAAAACACCTTCCCTGGGCGTGATCCCAGCCATCAAGGAGGAAAGCGGCCCAACGCGCTCGTCGCAGGCCCGCCGCCCGGAGGCCGCCACCGCGGGCCAGGGAGCAGCGGGCAGAGCGGGGGACGCCGGGATGCGGACGGGGTGCCAGGCCGCGGCCACAGCGCCAGCCTGGGAGGAAGGTCCTCACCCGGAGCAGCAGGGGTGCGGCCAGCCGGCGCGAGTCCCCCTCCGCGGACTCAACATCCCCCGGGCTCCTTACCGATGTTCCCTTCGACGGAAATTTTCTTGATGCGGGTTCCCTCAGAGCTGGTCGCGGGAGAGGGGCAGCTCCTCTTGGGTGGGGTGGCCATTCCTCGTCTGGTGGCGGGCGGAGCGCGTAGTGGGGGGGCTGGGAAGTGGACACAGGTGCTTGCGCCGCCGGCGACCTGCAGGCTGGACTTCGACCGTCAGAAGCTGTCCCGTCAGAGGCTCTCCCGCCGGCGGGTCTCGGATTTGATTTTGGCGCGCAGAGGCGGGCCTGCAGCCGGGACACCCCCACCCCGCGGGGAAGCCCCGCCCCCCGAGGCTCGGGTATCTGCTCAGGTGCCCCGGCTCTCGCCGGCCGAGGAGGCACCGCTGCGAGCGCGACCGACACCGAGGATCACGGGACAGCAGAGGGCGGGGCCGCGCGCGAGGACGCGCCTCTTCCGGGGACGCCGCGGCCGGGGGCGGGGCAGAGGTGGGGGAGGAGGGGAGGGTGGTTCTTGAGTGGTGTGGGAGCCTGCGGGAGGGGAAAGAGTGGGGCAGGAGGAGGAGGGTGTTTCCTGGGTGGAGATGGAACCTGGGGCTGACGAACGAGACTGGAGAGCGCGGGAGGCTGGAGGGCGTGTGAGGACAGAGGTGTCGCCTGCTGTCGTCATCTGGAGTGGGCTGGGCCGGGCTTTGGAGAACTCGCCTCCACTTGTGTTGGTAAACAGAGCGTCTGCACCGCATTGGTTGGCCTTGAAACATGGAACTTGTCAGGGGAGAAGCAATGTGTCATTGAAAAATCAAACATGACCTATGTTCTCAGCCTGCAGGACGACCATCAGACTAGGTTCTGCTGGGCAACCCAGCCAGGAACTGTTTCCAGCTCTCTTCGTGAATTAACTAGCAATCCCGTGCTGAAGATCCCACAATTAGCCCCATTTATCCGTTAGGAAGCAGGCACTGAGAGCTGGTGTTCAGTCGGCAAGCGGAACTGGGGTGGGAATTTAGGCAGTCAGATGCCACCCCACAGAAAGCCTTTCCTGATGTCTTATACCCCTCTTCTTTGGATTTTTATGCTCATTTATGCTGAAGAGGAGCAAAATATGCCAACCCAAAATAGACACTTTGGCATATTGATGATTTTGAAATAAAGGTATTTGAGAAACTTTGCAAGGAACACTCTGTCCCTCCTTTGTCCTCCCACTAAAAGGAGATAAATGTCCCACATGAAATGTATCCTCCCTGCACCAGGAGGGTAGAAGGCATCCTTATCACCAGCGATAGAAAATTTAGGGCAGAGCAGGCTGTATTAACAAACTTCACTTCTTCACCAATTTACTACCCCAAGCCCAAATCATTTGCCTTGTCAATTCTTAACAAATGTATTGTTTATTTGTCTGAAAGAAATAAAACCTTGCCTTGCTCACTTCAAGTCTCATTTTTATGGAACTCCCGTACAAAAAAATACATTTTGTTTTTCTCCTGTTTATTTGTCTTATGTCAATGTAATTATTAGACCAGCCAAAGAACCCAGAAGGGAATAAGGGATATATTTTCCACCCCTACAATGCTATGTATAATACATTGGTTATATTTCTGTTCAGCATGATTATAACTTATTTAACTTTGCATGCCTTCCACCTGGCACATAGTTAACAAATAAATGTATGTTGAATTTTTTAATTCAACAGAGTACTTCTGGGCCATGTACTCTGCTAGAACACCCAGCTAGCTGGAGACAACTACAGTATAAAAATGCTCAGAGGAACTCATTTTTTAATCACAGTTAAAAAAAACAAAAACAAAACCCTAGTAAAACAGACACTACTCAGTCTAGAAGTTATTGAGTTCAAATTATTGACCGAAACCAATGGCCCTGTTATTCTTTCTTACTTTGTAACTATCATCACATCTAAAATGCATCTAAAGGGGGAGTTTTAAAAGGTGGGTAAATGGTGAATCATTTTCAGAAATAAAGGGTAGAAATCAAAATGTGACTCCATGGGGAACTCTAGAATAAAAACAGCAAAAATTATTCTTTGTAATTTCCCTATATTGTTTTATTATGTTATTATTTTATGTGTATCACTTTTGTTTATCCCCATAGTGATTAGCAGCAGGATCCTGGAAATGAAAAGGCCCGAATGCTTGTCATCAAGGATGGCAAGGAAGCTGGAGAAGCTACTAGGTGTTTTATTCCACACCTAAGCTTGGGAAAAACCCATGAAATAATAAGGGTATTGGCAGCTACTGAGAAAGGAGTAAGGCATGTTGAATCTTTGAGACCTTCCAACAGGAGGGAAGTGGAACTGAAGAAGTCCCATATGGATCTGGTTAAAGATGTTTAAGGTTGAGAAGTAGGAATCCCCAAGTGTGGTTTCCACCCACAAAAAGACACACATACACACACAAAGGAAGTGTAGTGAGTAACAGTTTAAGCATTGAAAAATTAAAGACTGTTTTCAAATCCCAGCTTTGCCACTTTCTGGCTATGAGAACTTGAGTTCCTCCAAGCTTAAGAGTGTACCTCAAAAATACAAAGTAAATAGGGGAAACAGAGAACCTAGCTCTCTTGGCACCAAGTTCAGCATAATTTTCCATTTTCCTACATAACTTGTGACTAACACAAGAGACCAATGAAGAGCACTTAAAAAGTGCCTTCCTGATTTTTGTCCACAATCCCTTATCTGAAAACTTGTAGCTAAATGTTTCAGAATTCAAAAATTTTTGGACTTTAGAAAAGAAATAATCATATACTATATACACATTATGTCACCCTTCCTAACCCTCCTGCCAGAGGTGTTAAATACAGTATTTGGCAGTTAAATTTAAGAGTTTTTACATTAAGAGAGATAAAAACTATTTACCTCAGATCAGGTTAAGTTTGCACTGAATCAAGAAAATACTTTGGGCCCTGTCCAGTTTTGCTCAGCGGTTAGAGCGTTGGCCTGCGGACCGGAGAGTCCTGGGTTCAGTTCCCGCTGAGGGCACGTACCTCGGTTGCAGTTTGTCTCCGGTTGTGTGGGTGGCGACCACTTGATGTGTCTCTCTCACATTGATGTTTCCCTCTCTCCCTCCTACTCTATCTGAAGATGAATGCAAAAATGTCCTCGGGTGAAGATAAAAAGAAAAAGAAAATACTTTGGTCCAGCCAGTGTGGCGCAGTGGTTGAGTGTGGACCCATGCACCAAGAGGTTGCCGGTTCAATTCCCGGCCAGGACACATGCCCAAGTTGTGGGCCAATCCCCAATGGGGGGCATGCAGGAGACAGCCAGTCGATGTTCTCTCTCATTTCTCTCTCTCTCTCCCCCTCTCCCTTCCTCTCTCTCTAAAATCAATAAAGGAGGAGGGAGGTGGAGAAAATACTTTGTTTTTCAAGCTTTTCAGATTTTGGAATTGCAGATAAAAGACAAGGGATTGAAGTATCCAGTCAGTCATGAACAGACTACTACCTTAACAGTTCCTTGCCAGAAATTTTTCTAGTCTTTCAATTTAGGAATCCCTTTTCTCCTGTGGGAATGCTGGTGAATGAGACAGGGTCATGACTGATGACATACAAGTTTATTTTAAAAAAATTCTAAACCAATGCAAAAAATGAGAACAAAGGCATAAAAAATAATGGGCCCTGAACATTGATAAGTAGTGGTTATACAGCCCATGCATTTGTAAAATGATGTTTATCAACTTAATAAGCTTGGTTATAAATTTCTCCTTGCAACCTTCATTATTGCCTAGAAAACAGAAGGATTTGAGCCATCATAAAAGCAAGAGTGAAGAGTCAGGGTGCTTCCAGCAAATCTGAAGTGTAAAGGCAAAAGAACGTACAAGCAGGGCATAGAAGCCAGCCATCAGCCCTACATAACTCCTTAGGAAAGGAAGCTATATTTTGCAGCCTGCTTGTAAAGGTAATCTTAGGTAATCATAAAAATGTGGCATTATATTCATTATGCTGTTTAAAACAAGACAGTGTAAAACATCTGTTAAATATGGTTAAACCTTGCCCAGCCGGTGTGGCTCAGTGCTAGAGCGTCAACCCAGGTCACAGGTTCAATTCCCAGTCAGGGCACATGCCCAGGTTGTGGGCCAAATCCCCAGTTGGGGGCATGCTGGAGGCGGCCAATTGATGTTCATTCTTATCGATGTTTCTATCTCTCCCTCTCCCTTCCTCTCTCTCTAAAATCAATAAAGAAAAATTAAATATATATATACACACACACTCACACACACACATATATATATGGTTAAGCTTTAAACTTGCAGTGGTTCTCAACCTTCCTAATCCATGACCCTTCAATAGTTCCTCACGTTGTGGTGACCCCCAACCATAAAATTATTTTCGTTGCTACTTCACAACTGTAATTTTGCTACTGTTGCGTCTTTAGGCGACCCCTGTGAAAGGGTCGTTCGACCCCCAAAGGGGGTCCTTTAAGGTTTAAAGGAATAATTAGAACCTTTGTGTTACCAAAATGCATCATTCCAGACCATATAATATAATAAAGAATTAACTATTTAAATTTACAAGAGACAAATAAACCTAATTATCAAAATATAGTTAATTTTTATGAGTATTTCTTTACACACAGATGTTCTGTACATACTCTATGTGCAGAATAACAGGATGTTTTTATTAAAACATGGAGCAGTCCATATCAGCGTGAACTAGCATTTCTACTCCTAGTCTTTTGCTCAAATTAGTGACATTGGGCATTTGTGGCTACCATTATCAAAATATTTTCAACCTGACAGTCCAAACACAAATGCCTCTAAACATAAATACCTCTAAAATAATGATACTCTGAGAATACTCTAAAATACGCATTTCCTTTTGGAACTTAGCCAACATTCTTTTTTTTTTTTTCTTAATAGACTTTAGAGAGAGGAAGGGAGAGAGAAACATCTACCAAGAGAAACAAGTTGCCTCTTGTACGTACCCCGACAGGATTGAACTTGCAACCTAGGCATATACCCTGACCAGGAATGGAGCCCACCACCTTGGGGTGTATGAGATGATGCTCTAACCAACTGAGCCACACAGGCCAGGGCATACTGTTTATTCTTTTTTTATTTTTATTTTTTTTTATTTTTTTGGTATGTGCCCTTAGCGGAAATCGAACCCGGGACTCTCTGGTCCACAGGTCGACACTCCAACCGCTGAGCCAAACCGGCCAGCGCAATACTGTTCATTCTTTAAGGTCCATAATGAAGACAAAATTTGATAAAATCTTAGCTTGATGGAAAGGACCACAATTAAATATTTTGCTAACTGTTCTCATGGTAATAGTACAGTAGTTCCACCTTATCCACAGGAGATT